CAGAGAATGTCTCTTAAAAAAAAAAAAAACAGAAGGAGGTGAAAGCCTGACATGCTGAAAAAAAAAGAAAAAAAAAGGGAAAAAAAGGGGGGGGAGGGAAGAAAATGCCTTGCATTTTTATTATCAAAGAAAATAAACAGTATAGCCAGCAAAGCTCAAACTTCCAAATCACGACCAGCACAACCCTTTTCTGCTGAACACAAATCATTTCACTCAGTTCAGTGCTCCAAAGTGTGCGAAGGTCAGATTAGATGATCTAACAGTCACTTGTGGTAGTAAAATGCTCAGTCCTATTTTTCATGACCAAGGAAAAATCATTTGATTCTGCCATTGCATTTCACTTGTTAATTAAGACAGAAACTGAAGTCAGCCACATCCAATACAGTGAGTTCAATATGATGAAATATTCCCGGGCTGACCGTCTTGGTGAGATCCACTCCTGACGGTGGTGTGTTCCTCTCCATCCAGTCTCACAGTCCAAGGTAGGTTACCTGGGAAGAGTAAACAAATTAAGGCCTTGCTGAGTCCATTAAAATATGATGTACTACATGTTAGTGAATGAAATACCCAGAAGAAAGCCAGCTGTGTTGGTGGGAGGTCTGTGGGACCTCGAAAACAGAAGAGGGCCCTTTTCTGCAGTTTTGTTTCCTGTGGCTAGCCATTCCCTGCAGTTAACCACAGGAGCTTCCTGGTTTTATGGCATAGCTCTGATGGATACTACTTGACATTGTAGCCTCTTTTCAGCATTTATCCTTGTTTATTTTGCTCATTTTCACTTCACATTTAATAGGTTTTTTTTTTTGAAATGTTTCAACTCAGTTTAGCCCTACATATTTGTTGCAGTATCAAACAAGAACTTTAAACCAGTGATGACATGATTTTTGAAAGTCTAACTGGTAGCTCAAAAGCAACCATCACTCTAAGCCAAAAAAAAAAAAAAAAAAAAGGTACATAACCACTCTTTGAACATATCTTTGCCTCTTGAGACTATTTTGTGAGAGCTTCTCCTTGGTAACACAATTATACTACCTCCTTGGTCAAATTCTGCTTGATTTCTTCCATGTAAATCCAGATAATCTCCTGGACTTTAACAGAGATAATTGGCTTTATCCTGATATTAACTGAAAGCAGATTTTGACTTGATTTTTTTAGTGTATCTCCTGCTGGAATCTCCCCTCTCTCAAAGACAGGGCCATTATGACTGGGGTCCTATGTGTGCTAAATGGATTTTTTCCTTAGCTCATATTTCTATCACAGCATATGTGTTTGATTTACTTCTATTGTTCTTATATTTAATCTGTGCCCATTTAGTCACATTTACTACCATTATTTATTTATTTATTTATAATGCCTCAGTTCCACACAGAAAGGTAACAGAGATGGATACAGTGAGATCACCTGCAAACATATTCTGTGCAGATCTCTTTTCTGGCTTGCTATGTTTTGCATTTGATGATTTGGTATGAACAGTTTGTTTGTTTGAATGCTTGGTTTACATAAGAGCATTTTGCAGCAGCTACAAGTGCTCAATACAGAAGTATTTGATATTTCTTATTTATTTTTATTCTCTCTTGTTTGTGATGTCCTCCAGGAACTTGATAATAAAGTCCCTTTACCATTAGGGCAGACATTATACTGTTCTGTTCTGAAAATGGAGAGGATCAACCCAAATTTTAAGAGATGAATGTATTTATCACTATCTCTTTGATGGTATTAAAGAGGACAAAATTGAACTCGACCTCTGTTGAACTGGAGTTTTGCTGAACTGGAGTTTTGGAGCCCAGTCAGCCAATACCACTGCCATGCTGCCTGCCTAAGAAAAGTTAACTGGTTTTATGGTCATTTTACAGCGTTGACACTTTACGCCAGCAACTTTTTTGTAGGGCCATGTGGTCCCAAGGAGTCCTTAAGCAATGTGCAACTGAGCTGTCTGGATGTAAAGCAGTTCACAGTTACCAGCAGCAGGCATGACGCAGAAAATGTGGGAGAGGGTTTGGGGTTCTGGACACATTTTCCCAACAGAACTGATTGCAGTTACCAAAATCTGCAGAGCAGCGTAATGACTCCTCAGATTGATTTTAAGGTGAGACTGGGTGTCTGGCATATATGAGTGTAAACTMAAACATAGTAAGTTCCTTCTCTATATGAGGAGGAACTTGACTGTAAGGCTGACTGAAACAGGTTGCCCATAGAGGTCATGGTGTCTCCKTCTCTGGAGATCTTCCAAACCTGCCTGGATCCCGYCCTGTGCCCCATGCTCTGGGTGTCCCTGCTTGAGCAGAAGGTGTCCCTGCTGGAGCAGAGGGGTTGGACTAGCTGATCTCTAGAGGTSCCTTCCAATCCCAAACATTCTGTGATGCTGTGATGTGGGTCTCAGCTATGCCTCTATGTAAGGAAGCAAGATGGTCTGGTAGTGATACTGAGGAAGTACTGGGAAAGTAAGAAATGTCCCAAGAGATAAGACTAAAGGACAGTTTAGCTGAGTAGTAGTATCTTAGAGAGTTTCCATCTCCTGCCTCTCTAATGTGCTGTTGTGGCCATGACTAGGTTTCCTCCAAACAATTAAGTATAGTTACAGTCTGTCAAATCACCTCACCTTTCTCAAGCAAGCATAAGGAAATGGTTGTAAAATTATAATCAAACAAAGACTTTTGAATGATTTATTAAAAAAAAAAAAGGAGTTTTGTGTCTTCAGCTGTAACTAAAGACCTCTGTTAGTATTGGGGACTGTTTTCTCAGTTATTTCCTATGAGTTGACACATGACCAATTGGAAAAACTGAGGGAAACAGCAATTTCTGCGTGATTCTGTACAATGAGGCAAATTTCAGACCTCCTATAAACTGCAAGGCTGGAGTTGATGAGGAGGAAATGATTGTTCAAGATCCTCTTTTAAACTGTATTTGAGATACATATACCATGTATGTGTATGTTTATGTGTATGTGTCATGCTTCAAGACATGACTGATATTTATTTTGTTATTATTTTAGCAGAGGTGAGGTAAACTACTTAACAGGCATCTATGAGGAAAAGGTGTATTTTGGTTCAGGCCTGTCTCCTATGCTAATTGTATTTTATGGTTTATTTGAAAACACAATACTGAGAAGCAAAGTGAAATAAAGAGTGTATTCTTACTGACTGTAGGAAGTTTCTTAGTACTTGAAAAGCTTGCCAAAAATGTGTGTATGTCCCCCATATATGCACACATACATGCATATAAAAGTATAACCACAACAAAACTTAATATTATACTAAACTAGAATTCGATGAGAATTAAAAACGTYGTGATTTAATGCATGCCTGGCTATTAATTGAAAGTATGTCCTCTCAGTTTTGGTGGGAGCCCTTCATGAGAGGATGAAACCATAGCATCATTTTCATAATTATCTCACCTAGCTACCATAGCATGGCAGGAACAGGTCTTTGCGGTTCTGGCACATGTTAAAGAGCCATTTTTCCTTACCATTCTTTCTGAGGGGCTGGCTGCTTGTGGAGTGAGCACAATCCCAGCTGCTCTGGCTGTGCTTAGTGCCTTGTTGGAGCAGAACTGTATTGGGATGAATAGTGCAAATACTGGGATGGTGCATCTCATGAACCTGTGTTATTGTTACAGGTACTGCTAAGAAATGTGCTGCAGTTGCACCTTCATAGACTGGCAGTGTGGAATGTATGTATTTTCCTTTCCTTAACCATGGTCCCTTTCTCCAGATGTTGCTGATGGTAAGGGGGAAGCAGTGTCTTCCCACTACTTCTAATAGTAGTGCCCCTGGAGTAAAGATGTCTTTAGTARTCTTTAATCAAATGAATGGCCAGTTTGAAAGGTATAGCCAGAGCAAGAGGCTGGTCAACAGCAAGATATATCCCAAATAGAACCCAAACCTCAGTTCTCCCTCACCATAGGTTCAGCACTAATCCTACCAGTTTCATTGTGGAGGTGAGATTCATGCCTCTGCAGAAGGAGTCTGATGCCCATTTAACCTATTTACTTCACTAGATTTAGCAGTTAAAGTGCAAATGGGCTCTGTCCTAGCAGGGCTGAATTTTAGCATTTCCAAAAGCTGCCAAATACACTTAGGTCAAGTTCATCAGCAGACATTGGCTGTTTTGTGTGGTTTCAGTAACACAAGCTATAAACCCTGTTCAGATGGCCATTTAAACTGACCTTGCAGCTGCTTTATGAAGATAGAACATTATAAATTGCTGACGTATTTTACACAATTTGGTTCAGGATTTTAAAATATTAAATCTTCTAATGGAAACTTGCACCAAAGGGAAATATAAAAAGAGACAAACAAAAATGMTGGAGGACTGTAATGACCAGTTGCTTCTGGGCAGCAGTTCAGCTAAGGCTGTGTCCACTACACTGACTAAAACCTTTGTCCATCTTTTATTTCTTTTACTTGGAGCAATGCTGTAAATCATGTTTGTGAAAATGATATATTTATAGTAGCTGTAGTATAGCACTGTGAGAGACAGCAGCAGTTTAAAGCAGCATAAACACATGTTAAGAGTGTCAGAGAATGTTGGATTTAATTAACAGAAGACATATTATTTTCTTGGATTAGGTTAATTTTAAGACTTTATTCCTTCCAAAGATATTTGGCTTTGCCTAGGAGTATTCAGATATTGTTGGAAAAACAAAAATAGAAGGGATATGAGAAAGGTTTGTTTTGTTTACTGACTTTTTGTCTCTAGGGTTAAAAAAAAAAAAGTGTTCACTTTTATGTATTCTCCACAGCACTCMTCCAAGCATGATGATAAATAGCTTCTTCACAGGCAGCTGTTAATTCCATTTTTTCTTATACAGCGAATGTGCGACACTCCAGATGTAAACATATTAACACATTCTCTTTGGACAAAACGCTAACCGTGTCATGTTCCTTCCTTGTTACGCACAGCACTGGGCAGGCCATGCTGTCTCCCTGTGGCTGCCAGCAYGGCCTTCATCCCCTCATGACCGTGCCGTTCAGTTCTGACCTCCATTCTGTGTTCTGTTCACAGTTGTTCAGCACATCAAGCGCCACAATATCGTTCTTAAAAGAGAACTGGGAGAAGGAGCCTTTGGGAAAGTCTTTCTGGCTGAGTGCTATAACCTCTGTCCCGAGCAGGACAAGATCTTGGTGGCAGTCAAGGTAAAAGAGTCAAGGGTTTCYGTTATTAATTCTTGGTTGAAACTGGTGCCGTTTTATTTGTAAATGATCGTGTTTGTCTATTCTACAGCGCCACTAACTTCTCTGATATATGTGGAAGGGTACACAAGGCTAATGGAGTCTTAAGAGAACATGATATTCGATCTTGCTCAGGATTATAAAATAAGAGCCAGATTTTGTAAGGAAAAGGAGGAAACTGATAAGTGTCACAAAGGGACAAAATCTTTTGTGATCTATCTAATTGAGAGAGGTGATCGTCTCCCTATACACAGCCCTGGTGAGGCCACATCTGGAGACTGTGTCCAGTTCTGGGCTCCCCAGTACAAGAGGGATGTGGAGCTGCTGGAGAGAGTCCAGCGCAGGGCCACCAGGATGATCAGGGGCCTGGAACATCTGCCCTGTGAGCAAAGGCTGGGTCTGTTCAGCCTGGAGAAGAGGAGGCTGAGGGGGGACCTGATCAGCGTGTATAAATACCTCAAGGGAGGCAGTGAGGAGGAGGGGGCCGGCCTCTTTTCGGTGGTGGATGGTGATAGGACTAGAGGAAATGGCTTCAAACTGAAGCATCGGAAGTTCCACAGGAACTTAAGGAAACACTTTTTGACAGTGAGGGTGAGAGAGCCCTGGAACAGGCTGCCCAGAGAGGTTGTGGAGTCTCCTTCTTTGGAGATCTTTAAAACCCGCCTGGACGCAGCCCTGTACCCCCTGACCCTACGTGAGCAGGAGGGCTGGACTAGATGAGCTCTGAGGTCCCTTCCAACCTTAAGCATTCTATGATTCCAAAGTACAATGCATGCAAAATAACATCTAAGTTATTAAAATTATGTAAAAATATGTATAATTCTTGGTCTAAAAAGACCTGATTTGTTGTGATATATTTGATTCTTTTAGGCAGCCAATGATAGAAATTGTGTATAATTATCATTAGTATGGTTGCTAGTAATCTTATATGGAATCTAATAACAAACTTGTAGATAATAACAAACTTGTAGATAATACTGCTATGTACTATTAAATACTGCCTGCATGGAAATCCAAAAATCATGACATTTTAGAAATAGAAGAGTGATTTTCAATCATCAAGCTCTTTTCAAACATCCCAAAATACAATCATAGGTGGAGGAAACTAAGTGAAAACAGCCATAACCTTGGAGCGTGGATCCAGAAAAATCCTCTCAACACTGAGTACTCTGAAGAACGGAAGAACTCTGAAGAAGAACAGCAACTCTGTTGCTGTTTGGCAGCACAGCAGGAAACAGATCAGGGAGTAAGATTTCCATCATGATCTCAGAGCACTGCAGACTTGATTCACCATACCAAACTTTTTTGACCCCCAAAAATGGAGATTGTGAAGTCAGTTGTCATCCTCAGCTGTGGAGGTTTGCTAGAAAACAGTATCAGTGAAACCACGATCTATGAGGAGTTTGCTAGGTCTCCCTGACAACTGTCCCCTATCTCCATCTGTGTTCAAGAGAGCCGAACTAGGTGTTTAGCACTTAAAGTATCTCATTAAAGGCAATGGAAACATATATCATAGAATTTGGACTGTGCTTAGGGACCAGAAAATAATACTGTCTGTCCATTCCCAATTAGGCAAATGTGTACGTAGAATTGAATTTGAATCAAATCATTGAATCAAATGATACAGTAAAAGAATCCCAGAAGATCCTCTTTTTGAAATTGTAAACAAGGAGCAGAGTTTTGGATCTAGCAGTGAGGGAACATGAAAGGAAGATGCATTAATTGAATTATATCTTTCTCCATCACAAATAGAATTTTGGAGGGGTTTGCCAAGGTTAGTATCTTTTTGATACTTGTGTTGTTCAGTCATATTTTCTGGTGGGAAAAAATGTTGTATCATAGATAGGAAAAAGCAAGAGAGAGAAGATGACSAAGCTAGAACTGAATTAATTTTCTATTGTATTTTGGTGAGAATAGAGTGAAAATTTCCTGTCCTCTGTCACTTCAGGTAACTGCTTCAGAGCAAAATAAAAGCCTTTCAATTGGCTTGTTCCCTTTGAAAGTCTTGACCAAATGGAGCCTATCATTTCACTCCTGTTAAATGCAATGCCTGTACTCTCTCTTCTGTTCTTTCTCGCAGTGGTTTACAATGAGTAGCATTCAGTGTATAAAGGCAGAAATGTCTCCATGGTTTTGGATGACAAATCTATCAGTTTTCTGTACCAGTATTATTAGAGGTTTCCCGGATTCGCTCTTCACAGTGTCCTTGATAACTGTCTTGCAGTTAGYGGTTCAGATAACTGCTGAAGGACAAGTAAGGAGACCTGTCCTTGTGGACAGCTTATGCTTCTTTCAGGTGTCTTGCATCAGCTCTTGAAAAGCTGACTCCGTTCCCCGTCAGAGAGTGATTTTTTTGGCTAAATAGACCTTTGGAGTGGTCCTATACAATGAAGTGGTAAATCACCTGACATTCCCAGCCTTTCACCTTTACTGCATGATGGACTAATGGCTATGCTTCATGCCTATGTTCTAGTTACTTTTGAGGGCAGCACTCTCCCTCACAGAGCATGGGACTTTACAGGCACCAGTCAGAGAACTGGCTCCCATTCCCTCTATTGGATGCAGGGCTTGGCCAGCAAAGATCTGAAAATTTTGGTCCTGGAGGAGCATGCCAGTTGAGGGTAGGTCTTCATGATGAACAGCAAATGATTTAGAGATCATCCTCCCCTTGAGCAAAAGCAAACTAAGAATGTCCCTATGAAAGAGCTTCTCTGAGCCTGTTAGAAATACATGTTTAGTGACAGGTGAGGCCGTATTGGAAGGATTTAGAAAGGAAGCYACGCAAGCTGGGGCTGTGTCAGCTGGGGCTTGGGGGAAGCATCGTCTCACCTAGGTGAGATTCGCAGAGCATTTCACTCGCTGGCTGTGCTGGAAGGGCCCTGCCTGCCAGTTGCTGGGCAACGTTGCAGCATTGCACAAGCAGACGAAAAACCCTGGATTTGAACCTCAGAGGAGCGAGCTGCTCTGACTCGGAATGCATTCTCCTCACTTGTCCTATACCCCAAATATTGATGTTGCTGTTGAAAATTATAAAGCAGGTAAAAGGGTTCCAAAAAAAACCTGGGAAGAGATAAAATCAGGCTAAGCAYAAACAATCCCAAATTTTGCACTTTTGCTCCATTTGCATGGCTCAGGTTAAAATCATTTTGACCATCAGGCTTTTCTGAGGATCCCTGGGTATGCAGAAACTCTGTGGGCAGAACATGTGAACACAGAACTTAACCTAAGGTTAAGTAGTTTGTGGGCACTATATGCCTCCTGGGTGAATTTTCAATCAAATCAGTATACCATTGCCTTCAGGCAGTTTTAGAGGAAGGTGAACAAAGGGGTGAAGGGATAATTATCATTTCATTTTAGGTCATTTTGCCATGCTACAGTGACTTCCTTAGACTTGATTCAGTACCATTTTCTCATGGACTTGGTTCCCTTCATGTACATTTGCATTCATTTAGCATTACGGGAGTTGGAAGTGAGGAAAAAGCAAAGGTCATTCTGCTCTGAGGTTGAGGTCACATAAGAGAGTGATGTCAACATTAGGTGAAGACTATTTCCATGATGCTTTCAGAGGAAAACCAAAGATGTCTGATGAACCTCATAGCCTTCTATGATGGGATGACTAACTGGCTGGATGAGGGGAGAGCCATGGATGTTGTCTACCTTGACTTAAGCAAGGCTTTTGACACCGTCTCCCATAATATCCTCATACAGAAGCTCCAGGAGAGCGGACTAGACAAGTGCACGGTGCAGTGGATCGAGGGCTGGCTGGATGGCAGAGCTCAGAGGGTGGTGATAAATGGGGCTGAGTCCAGTTGGAGGCCTGTGGCCAGTGGTGTCCCCCAGGGGTCAGTACTGGGCCCAGGGCTGTTCAATTTGTTCATCAGTGACCTGGACGAGGGCGCAGAGGGCACCCTGAGCAAGTTTACAGATGATCCCAAGCTGGGTGGAGTGGCTGACACTCCGGAGGACTGTGCTGCCATCCAGAGGGACCTGGACAGGCTGGTGAGTTGGGCAGAGAGGAACCTCATGAGGTTCAACAAGGACAAGTGCAGGGTCCTGCACCTGGGGAGGAATAACCCCAGGCACCAGCACAGATTAGGGGTCGACCTGCTAGAAAACAGCTCCACAGAGAGGGACCTGGGAGTCCTGGTGGACACCAAGTTAACCATGAGGCAGCAGTACCCTCGTGGCCAAGAAGGCCAATGGGCTCCTGGCTGCATCAGGAGGATGTTGGCAGCAGGTGGAGGGAGGGGATCCTGCCCCTCTRCTCAGCTCTGGGGAGGCCAAACCTGGAGTATTGGGGGCAGCTCTGGGCTCCCCAGGACAAGAGGGACGTGGAGCTTCTAGAATGGGTCCAGTGGAGAGCAACTAAGATGATTAAGGGACTGGAACMTCTCTCATATGAGGAGAGACTGAGTGAGCTGGGCCTGTTTAGCCTGGAGAAGGCTGAGAGGGGATCTGATTAATGTGTATAAGTTCAGGAAGGGAAAATGCAGGGAGGAAGGGGACAGGCTGTTTTCATTGGTGGCCAGCTATAGGACGAGGGGTAATGGCCATAAGCTGGAGCACAGGAAGTTCCATCTCCAGGTGAGGAGGAACTTCTTTCCAGTGAGGGTGACAGAGCAGTGGAACAGGCTGCCCAGGGAGGCTGTGGAGTCTCCTTCTCTGGAGATCTTCCCAACCCGCCTGGATGCCACCCTGTGCCCCGTGCTCCGGGTGTGCCTGCTGGAGCGGGAAGGTTGGACTAGATGATCTGTAGAGGTCCCTTCCAACCTTGAATATTCTGTGATTCTGTGATTCTGTGATGTCCAGCACTTCGGATACTGGTCAAAAACAAACTTCATTTCTGGAATATATACACTGCTTACTTGTCATACAGTGACAGGAAGCAGTTGTAAGGATTTSACGATGAAAGTCTGAAACAGTGTAAAGTATCCTGAAAATTTCATTACAAAGACATACCAATGCTGGTGAGAGCCACATCCTGCTGTTTTTCCTCCAGCGTAGTCACAGGTGCAGTTCTACAGTGTAGTTACGGGTTGAGTAACCACATGTTCTGTGCTCCTGTACCGAGCTTGRATCTGAAGAGACTAATTTCTCAGTGGTTACTTGGGCAAAGACCTAGTGAAGGGAAACAGCAGTGGGCTGGTAGTTTTGCTTGTTAAAAGACTGAACTCATCAGATACAGAGCTTCTGTAATAGAGCATTCCCCTATTGACTAAAGGAAGATGTTCCTCTTCCTTAGCTGGTGGCCCAGAAACCTGAGGGACTCTGAGATACATAAATTTGTGTCTCAGCTCCTGCTCACACAAGAATACCATCAGCTGGTGAAAGTGCTTTGCATGCAGAGCTTTGGCTTATTTGTCAGTAAAGATAATAATAATGAATATGTCTTTTTCTCTATCTTGTGCCCTTATGGTTTTATTTTGGTTTTATTTTTTCCTTGCACTGAGAACAAGCTATATACATTACTCAATGTCATTTCTCTGTGCTTATTAATTCTCACTCCTTCCAGTCTCCTCTTTGCCTGAATGTGTCAGCTCTCTTTCATGCATTGCATCTGTTCTGTGCTGCATGAAATAATGAAAAGGGGGCTTGGCACGACTGGGCATCAGAAATTCCACTCACCTCCTGGTAGGTAGGGAGCCTGTCAGGGTTCTCCTACATTTTAGACCTTCCTGCATTTTGCTCTTTGACAGAAAATATGTAATTGCCATGGCAACTGCTCTGTCATATGATAATTTTGCTGTTTCTGTGAGATAAAAAGCACTTTCTCAAATATACAATATGCCATCCTCACAGGGGTAAAGCTGTCAGCATTTTTACTGTCTTTACAGTGAAAGATTGGCTATGCTTCTCCATATTGATTATTTTTCTMCAGATTCCTGTTATTTATTTATTTTTTGTAAATTGGTTTTCTAGTTCTGTTACCTACAAGAATTACAGTTAAATTACTTTATGCATGAAGCCACAAGAGGAAACTCGAGTGAGAGCAGAATTGTTCCCAGTGATTCCATTATATACTGTAGATTGGACTGTGGCTGTATCATATTAAAGCATCATCTCAGAGCCATTAAGGGGTGGTAGAGGTATTTCTGTTAGCCCTTACCTGGTTTGGATATAACTCTGGAGACCCAAGATGGGGGACTGAGTTAATATCCACTTCAGCTCTATATCTTCATGTGCCATAGCTTTTGAAACAGCCAAAATCCTTATTGCATCATTATGTGTAAAACTCACGGAAGAAAGCCAGAGAACACACAGGGTTCATAAGTGTGTCCCTCAGGGAAGGGGTGTTTTCGGCTTGACAGATTTCTTTTGCCTCTGGAATCTGTACAGCCTTCAATCCACTGGGAAAAAAATTCTTGACGTAGTAACTGGCTATTCAGTCTGCCCTGATTCTTATTCCCCCCATCTGGACCTTATTATGGTAGCTGTTCATTTCTGGAGACCTATGGTTACATTTTCATGAGTAAAGGAACTGTTTTCTGTAAAAATCATATTTTAGTCCCTTATTTACAAATGAACACATATAATACCAGAAAAGTGGCCAGAGTTGATTCTGTTCAGGAAGTATCTTGTACAAACTGTGATTTTATTACAGCCAAAAAATGGGGCTTATTGGTGGAACCATTGTACAATCAGCTTGTTCTGTTCTCTTCTCTTAGGCATTGTTAGTCCTATGCTCACCATAGGAATTCAAGATGGAAAATAAAGTGACTAGATGATCAAGAAGAAGCATTTTTAGTTAAAGCCACTATTTTTGTGTCTCATTTTCTCTTACAGAGTTGAGGTGTAGTTAGAGTACAGAGCTTAGTCTTCAGTTTCTGTGARTGATAATTTGTGAGAAAGGGTAACCTGCTATCACTCTCTTACAGTTTTAAAAATACTGTTATACAGTGCAACCTCAGTATTTATGCACRTAGAGCATAGCAATAGTATATTGCTAATTAGGATTATTCCTTACTTAATTGGTGTCAGAAATTGCTTTTCTGGTGCATGAAAGAATTCCTTACTCATGAAGCATAATTTTTATGAAGAGATCTAAAACTGTCTTTTTGAGTGGCTGCTTAGCTGCCATCATGTCATAAAACTACTGTCATTTCATAAAACAGCATTTAAGCCTCCCATTTGACCCAGAATTGTTATATTTCCCATATATGAAAATATGCAAGATTTTAAAGTTGTCTAAGTGTCAAAGAAAAACCAATGATGTCCCCCCCCCAAATTCCGTTCTGCCTTTTTTCTTTAGCATTTATCAGTTCAGGATGGATCCTCTAGTACCTTACCCRTGTTCTTTACCTCAGCCATGTGAGTAATTTCACTGAATTATCAAAAAGTTCTGGGACCTCAGGTTGTAAGTTCTGGTTGAGGGAKGAACCCTTGTATAAATCTGCCTTATTCATAGGATGCTATAGGGGTCCACATCAAGAGCAACTTTAATAATACATAACAAAGGCACCTACATTCCTGCTAATCATTATAAGCAAACAAAGCTTCATTTTACAGAATTTAAAGCAGAGGTGAGTGCCAACAGGATACTGGGGTTTTGCCTGGGTTAAATGCTAAAAGATATGGACCAACTGTGTACTAGTATGTTCCTTGGATAATCTTAGTTTCTTTGTTCTGTTTGGAAAACGCTTGGCAAAGTAAGGCCCTACGTATTCATACATCCTCTGGAATGATGTGTGGCAAGGGAACAAAAATTGTACTGCCATTATTAAATTGCACKTAAACATCACATGTGCATTTCTAAAACAGTTATTAGGAATATACCTTCTCCAGCCTTCACAGATTCACAGAATATTTATTTAAGGTTGGAAGGGACCTCTAGAGATCATCTAGTCCAACCTTCCTGCTCAAGCAGGCACACCTACAGCATGTGGCACAGGGTGGCATCCAGGCGGGTTTTGAAGACCTCCAGAGTACAACCTCCCTGGGCAGCCTGTTCCACTGCTCTGTCACCCTAACAGTAAAGAAGTTGCTCCTCACCTGGAGACGGAACTTCATATGCTTCAGCTTGTGGCCATTACCCCTCGTCCTGTCGCTGGCCAGCAGTGAAAACAGCCTGTCCCCTTCCTCCCTGCATTCTCCCTTCCTGAACTTATACATATTAATCATATCCCCTCTGAGCCGTCTCTTCTCCAGAGAAAACAGGCCCAGCTCACTCAGCCTCTCTTCATACGAGAGATGTTCCATTCCCTTAATCATCCTGGTTGYCCTTCTCTGSACCCTCTCGAGAAGCTCCACGTCCCTCCTATACTGGGGCGCCCAGAACTGAACACAGTACTCCAGGTAAAAAACTTCTCGGAGTAGAGTGTCCATATCTTACCCTTACAGCGCCTTCCCACATGTTCACTACCTTCTGCAAACCTGTCTTCCCATTCCTCCACCAGACACTTAAGGATGCCAGTGACAATGCCCGTAAGGACTTCCACCGTGAGGCAGAGCTGCTCACGAACCTGCAGCACGAGCACATTGTCAAGTTCTACGGCGTCTGCGTCGAGGGCGATCCACTCATCATGGTCTTTGAGTATATGAAGCACGGAGATTTGAACAAATTCCTCAGGTAAATCCACCAGTGTGCATTGTGCTGAGGAGGCAGAAATAGGCAGAGAAGTTGGGCATTGCTGGTACTAAATGGCAGATTACCTACCACTGGTAAAAAATGCAGGAATTAAAATCTGTGTGACACAGTGCTTGTACATTTTGTGAGCTGTGGGGCTCATTATTTCCTTATCTATTTGGAAGGACCACTAAGTTATTTCTAGTGCCTTCAGCAAAAAGAGTACTGTTTTTCAGTATATTTCAGTATATTCTGAAATATTTGGCTATAAAGCTTTCAGTAGGAATTGCTCCCTTGCCTCCTTTCTGCTAGCACTTGGAAAGATCCCACTCAACACCTATCTCTATCTGTAGGTGTCTGAAAGCTTTGGAAAATCTTACTGCTTTTCTCTTCCCTCCTGTCAGCATTTTGGAAAAAGTACTATAAACCTGTGGTAAGAAAACTGTTAGCCTTAGAAATTTCAGTACAATGGAAATTGCARCATCGTGGGGGCTGGATTGGAGTTTTTATCTTCAAAAGTTATTCAGCAATATCCAACCAAAATTGCAGTCTGTTAGTAAAGGAAGGGTTAATAAATATGTAACTTACGAACCAGCAAATTTTGTCCAGTTTCTTTAAGTATATGCCATATACTTAGTTGTCTGAACTCATTGACATACAAATAAGCAGTTAAGGGACAGCCTTTGCTCTACATAAAAAAAAATGCATAATGGACTGTTCTCTCAAGCTCTTCTCTGCTGTTTCATCAAAGGGCACCACAAAGGCATTTTGATGTACTAAGATCCCTTCTGACTACGGATAACTAGGAGCCACCTCCATTTTGGAAAAATATGTGTAATGCATGGTGCTGACAAAGCCATAAAACAATCAAACTAATGGCCCTTTAAATAGGTTCAGATTTGGTGTCTGAGTAAAATTGCTAGTGACTGGTGGTGTCACCGTTTGCCAGTTTTTGATCGCTTCTGTGAAATGAGTTTGCCGTCCTTGTAATCCCCAGTGAGCAAACAGACACATCATAAAAGCAAATGACATCAACCAGCCTCTTCCTTTATTGTCAGGGTTGGCAGGGAGACCATGGGTTGAGCCGGGGATTCGGCGGGAACGTGACTCTTCCAGAGGGACTGTCTCCCTGGCAGAGGGTTAAGTGCATTGCCAGGGCAGCGCTGAGGTGGTTGCGTTTGCCTGCTCGCACCTCTGCTCTGGATGTGAAGGGGACGGAGCTTCTCAAAGATGCCAGGCCAGGTGCTTTTTTTAAAATGCCGAACCCCCATTAAAACAAACTAGATTTGCAGCTGATTCAGTGTCATTACGACAAATGCTTATTCATTGATTCTTTGCGATCAGCCTTTTTTTTAACCTCCTAACTCTGATTTTGAGTTGTTGTGGAGAATGGTAGGTTGCAGACAGTATATTTCGTATGTTAAGTTTTCTCTCTCTTTTTTTTTTTTTTAATTATTAATCAGCCCTTGTCTTTAGAACATAAAATGATTATGCTGGGACAAGCTGTTTAACCTAAGCTCCAATTTGTCATTCCTGTCATTCTGCTCACATTTGCCGCAGCTTGTGCTGCAGATCAGAGGTTAGCCGTAAGCAGGCTAGAAAAGCCTGTATTTCTTACCCTGCAGCGCCACCAAAGGCTGTCAGGGAAAAACATATCTGAAATTTAACCCAAAGGAGCCTTTACTGCTTGGTGGTGCAGCCAGGGACTACAGCCCCGAAGCATTTGGTGGCCCTGCATTTGGTGGATAGTGGAAACCATGTTGATCCAAAGGGCTCTGCTGGTGGCTCTTGACAGTGTGGAGCTCCACTTTTGCAGATGGCACCAAGAAGAGAAGCAAGATAGATAGCGTATTAAAAATTATCCAGAAGTTTCATTATATACATACCATCTCCTTGGGAAGTTAGAGAAGAGGAGCTCTAATTTTGTATGTTCAAAGCTTCACATTTAAAAACAGTCATTAAAAAACAAAACAGTGCAGTGAAGAGGTGCAGTGTTTTTCATTAGGAGTTTGCCTCTGAGCTTTGGTTGGGGATTTCACCTCTCTCCTCTTTTTCCCACCACTGCTGTCAGTTGAATGKCCATCTGTACCCTGTAGCAGGATAACTGCAGTGAACATCTTTGCCTGGTACCAGATGCAGTCCCAGCAATGTTGCAAACCTTTGTACCTCCCTCACATCTGTCACTTTGCTCATGAAGTTCTTCCCCTGGGGCAACTTTGGTATCATATTTCTAACAGGTAGGGTCAGATTTCATCTCACAGATTTTGATTTATTTGCAATTCTCTTACAAAATCTTGTGCCTTTCCCCTAGGGATGAACAAAGGCCACATGTCATCTCTACTGACCATATACTGATACCTCTATCTTCAAGGTATCAGGATGTGCCATATGTAGACCAGAACAAGTACTGTTAGCATAGGTGAAGCACAAGAGCTGTAGAGATTTATTGGGGTTTCCAAATACAAAAGTGCCTTCTTTGCCCCAACAGGACTAGTAGCTGCTCATGAATTAATTGATCATTAGGAGCTTGCTGGATCTTGGGGAAAAAAAAAATCTATTTCTGGAATTCTTTAGTTGTTCAGACTAGACTATGTTTTAAGTTCTCTTCCCACTGTTGATAATTCCTGAGTAGAGCAGAACTTGCCTMCACAGGTGAAATCAGCAAAAATGTTTTTCTATTCTGTACATATGATAGGAAATTGAAAGTATAAATTTAAAGCTACTGCCCTTTTTCTCAGATCAGATGTGAGAAGGAAGTTAGTTCTTTCTTCTTAAAGACAAGTTGAAAATGCTCAATTACCTGTCTCCCTGTGGAAATTAAGAGAAAACTGGTCATTCAAACACAGGAAGAATGGTGCTATGCCTACCACTTCTTGGCGGAGTATCACTCTTGGAGAGGTTTTCATCAAGTACCAATCAGCTACCTTTACCAACCTTTCTCCAGAAGAGATTTCTGCAGCAGAATGAAGGTAGTGGTTTAGGGCKAAGGATTGTTATAAACCTATCTGCCTGCTTTATTTTCATGAACAATATATTGCCCATCATGTAATGCTCTTCAAATTACCAGCATTTCTGACCATGGAAGAAAACAGTAGAGGAAAAAAGTCAAAAGACAATTCCCCCTGTTTCGCCAGTGAATTTACATTCSTTTTTGTCGTTATGCTTGAGCAAGTCACTTGTGTGGTTTTAGGCCACCAGATGCCTTTTACCTCTTTGGCTTACAAGTGGCAAATCACTTCATCAGCTTGTATTTTGGTACAGGGCACACGGACCAGATGCAGTACTGATGGCAGAAGGCAACCGTCCCGCTGAGCTGACCCAGTCCCAGATGCTCCACATTGCCCAGCAGATTGCTGCTGGGATGGTTTACCTGGCGTCACAGCACTTTGTGCATCGGGATCTTGCTACCCGGAATTGCCTGGTTGGTGAGAACCTGCTGGTGAAGATTGGGGATTTTGGGATGTCCAGAGATGTGTACAGCACAGACTACTATCGGGTAAGTGAACTGCTATTATCAATAATAACTGAGCTCTGATTCAGTCATCTCGCCACCTTGATATGATTATACTACAAGTATTATACTGGACCATCTGTCTGTGAGGTGGTTTAGGATGCAGCATACAGAGAAGCTGGTTTGGGGTTACAAGGTTTTGGTAAACTGGAAWAGAATTGATAAGATTGACATGTTCTGTTGTTTTTGTATGCTATGTTTATTATTTAATAATAAGTTATAGAAATATCCTTCCTYTGGTCAAAGATTCAACATGTTTGTTTGGCCTTAGTGAAGAAGAAGCAGATAAACAAAAACAATTATCACATTTGGCTTAATAATGCAGGAGTTATTAAAATACAATTCTTTTACAAATGGAAATTCCCGAGCTCATTTGCCATAAAACAATCTGTGAAGTTTGTCAAAGGCTTCTTGAATTGCTAGGATAAGCACGGCTGTGTTCTCTGATTCTGTTGTTGATGCTGGCTTTGTACTATGTGGCAACTCATGTAGCTGACAGCATTTGTGTTCATTACAACATGTGTAGCTTCATGAGTGGAGTTGGACTATGAGACTTTTATGAAAGGCAATCCATAGCCAAGTTGTTGGTTTATAAATGCTAGTGTTGAATTCTGTAATGTGAGCTACTCTGCACTGCCTCACTCGCTGCCTGTGAGTTTTTTGTAGACAAAATGAAGGCTTCTTCCTTATATACCTTAATAGGGCTGCTGTGTCGATAAAAAGGAGTGTCATTTCCGCACCAGTGTTTGTGGGCCGCCTGAAAAGCAATTGCCATTACATCCAGCTGAGGCTGGACAGGGCCCAGGATGCCAGGCACAAGGATTATTGTGGAGTGCTGTTTCACTTAATAGCTGAGAAGTAGCAGTCTCCTTTGTTCTTTGTCRTTTTGTTCAACAAGCAAACACAGTATTTAGTAAACATAGAAACCAGATTCCTCTTATATTTTGTTCTTTTGGAAATTTGGCACTTCAGATTATCTGATCAACATAAAACAGTTGTGACTTCATTTTAGTACTTGGAAAAAAATACAAAGTGGTAATCACTGCTTATTTTTGTGTTTGTGAGGATACCAGTGAGCACCAAGGGCCAAGCTTTCTTGATTTTGCATCTGAAACATGAGCAATACTTGCTGGGACTGGAGGCATGTATCTGTTCTGTATTTCAGCAGGGCTGGATTTATTTACTGTATTTATCATTACACTTAAGAATGAATGTTCATGTTAATAGTGAATGTTTGCAAAGACTTTAACAATCACAGGCATTTCAAAATGATGAATGCCTTGCTTTATACTTCTTTTAGGGGAAAAAAAAGAGAAAAAGAAAAAACCAACTCCTTGCTACAAAGAAAAAAAAAAAAAAAAAAAAANTTTTAGGGGAAAAAAAAGAGAAAAAGAAAAAACCAACTCCTTGCTACAAAAAAAAAAAAAAAAAAAAAAAATCCTAAATCCAAAAGAGATAGGAGCTAACTGTCGACTTTCTGCTGAAAAATGAAATGTGAAACAAGCATATGGTTCCATACAGCTCTTCTGCTATCTAATTTGTGCCTGTTCTTCTTGGCTTAATGCTTGAGTCTTGCACATAAACAGAGCAAAATGTATGCAGAGAGAGTTTAGAATAAGGCCAGGGTTTTGCCCTGATTGACCTGTGACCTGGAGAAAGCAGGCATTCACTAGAGAAAATTCTGGGTAACTTGTTGGGATTCTCAGGTACCTTTCAAAATGCCTTTTCCAACATTGGACTTCTCACGTGTCCTCTCTGACTCCTGGTCATCAATGTTGATTCCTCTTCCCATGTACGTTGTTGGCTTTCTTGCCCGAAGGAGGCTGAGTGGGATCCAGAGAGTAAGAAAGGAGACGAGATATGGAGAAGGAAAGGAACCATATGAATAGTGAAGAGGGTAAAATAATGTATGTGAGAGAGGGAATGAATAAAGTAAGGAAGTGGAGAGAGGTGTTAGAGAAAAGACCAGTGTGGATAAATGGTTAAACAGGTARACAGTGTCAAAGTGTCAAAGAGTATGAATGACAGTGCAAAGCAGCATGTCTTCACTCAAGCTAATAGTTAGGAGAGGTAGCTTGCAGTGTGRTGCATTGATTTAAAATTTTAATTGGGTCAGTCACTTGTTCCACACAGTCAGAAAACCAGGAAGAACTATATTTCTGGCAGGCTGCAGCTTGCCTTGCAGCCATTATCCATACTGACAAAAGCTGGAAGCTACACTAAAGCCTTTGAGATTTTGTCCTGCCCTCCCAGGGCCGTATCTGGGCTAGTCAGAAGCTGGTCACTAAAGAGTCAAGGCCATGATGCCTTGCCAGCTAGTTGCCTGATGTCCAGGGCAGCCCTGAGTAATGAGACTGCCTGCAACAACACAGAGATGGCTCTGACCAACCAGACCTAATTGCTTGGAGCTGGGTTAAGTCTTTTTAACTGTTCAGGCTTAATCACATATGTGGAAGCAATTCTTGCCCATCCTTGACAGCTTTAGCTCATGTTCATTGCAAGGATTTATAGAGCTCCAAAATAATCTGCAAAAAGTGGTGTGGTAGTTGCGCTTACTAATATACTGCAACCAGTTTCCTGAAATACTAGTGCCCTGCCAGGATATTTGATTTGCTCAAGATGATTATTTGTAGTTTGTTTCTGTAAAATGAGGATGACCCCCAAACCATATTTACTGTTGGATTGTTAATGACATTCTGTATTGAATCAGCTCAGTTGTTAAGAGATGCTTCAGGGAGGTGTGGGAAAGAAGTAACCTTTTGATTGGGAATAGATGTGATGTGTGGCCGAGGTTGCACAAGATTTCTGTTCTTTCTTCCCTTCTTTTTTCCTTCATTCTTCATTTGACAGGAATCTTGGAAGAGGGGGAAGGCTTGGYATACATGTAACATTTAATGAAACAGCAGTAGTTTTCAAAAGTCACACGAGATGAGCCTGAGGACATGAAGAAATTGCACTGGCTTTTCTTACCCAGTGCTGCCATCCACCCCAGGCCAATCTAAAAGAACTGGCAAGTAATTAGTTAGTTCGGTGTGCCAAGCAGCTCTGCTGACACTGCTGCATCACAGTCCTTGTAGAGCAGTGGATCTTTTCACATGCTTATATAATTGCAGAGTTTAGATTTCGAGTTCATCAGAGGCTTTCTTTTTTTTTTAATGTCTGTTTGAGCTCAGAGTTAGGGGTTTCCCATCTGATGTCCAAATACTGTGACTCATCTGCAGCATTCAGTGGCTTGAAGTATTGACATTGAAGCATGGAAATAACTACTTTGCTAATATTTGTCTCTGCACTCAAGGGTACTATTTCAGACCCTTTTTAGACTTATAATTCAAGTTTGAAAGTGCTTCCTAAGTATCTGCCCTTAAAATACTTTTCTGTGTTTCTTTATCATAAGCAAAAAACTAAAAAAGAAAGAAAAGGAAGGTCAGCTCAMCCCTGTGCTCAGAAAACCTTAACAAGGATATGCTTTAAATGTACTGCTCAGTCCAACAGCTGCAGACTTGAGCCAAGATTTTGGATGAAATTGTGATCTCACTGGAGTAAGCAAGAGCTTTGCCATTAACTTCATTAGGACCAGAATTCACTGTGTCACATCTTTTATGTCTGTCCAGTGAGACATGGAGACTCTGTTTCTGATTTAGATGTATGGAGCTAACTTGTGCAATTTCTGTTTAGCTATTGTATAACCTACATGTCTTTATGCAACAGTGCAAGAACAGTGGAGGAAATAAGGGCTTTTTGCCTCTGTTTGTATAAACCACACATGGTTCTATCTGAAGCCTGAGGCTATTAAATGGATTTGTATCTTCCTTTAGGGCCAGCTTGTCCTACAGGGATGGGAAAGTTTATAAAGCATATCACAAATTTGTTTCCTCTATTTTTTGCCTAGATGGAGTAGAAGGGCTCCAGGGGATGTGGTTCTGTCCAGTGACCTGGGCAGATATTCTCTTTATATCTCCTTTATATTTTGCAGCATGTTAGGATAGGATGAGGTTACTTAGGTTATTTAGCCCAAGCCTTCCATGAGAACTGGAAGCTACATGTTAAGTGCAGGAAGACCCACAAGAATCTCAGGCCTCCCTCAAGCCATGCTAAAAAAACCATCACCCATGAACACTTTCAGCCTCTTTTTACAAAACTTTACCCAAAGTCAAAAAAGTACAGTCTGCTGTGGGTAAAGGGGATAAATTGAAGGTATCACACTTAGACCTCTATAAAAGGATGTATATTTGGAAAGTTCCTAGGAAGTCAGTTGCATTTCATGCAACAGCTGGTGACAGCATTGATTGTCATTGTGTGAGAGTGAGAAATGCTTCCTGATCTGGCAAGCAGTGAACACACACAGCCAGCTGCACCAACCTGCCAAATCTAGGGTTTTATGGTGCTCCTTGAAGCACATCTTTCTCAGCATCCTGCTTTGGGGAGCTGACAGTCATCACTGTCTCATGGAAGTTTGGGGACAGAACTTAACCCAGAGGCAAATTCTACAGCAAGAGGGAAAAAAAATGCAGGTGATAAACAGAAGTGCCCAAAAAAGAATTCCATTGACTAAATAAGTATAGGGCCCCCAACAAAACACTGACCTGCCTTTTTTTTTTCTAATGGTGTTCAGAAGTACCACAAAATCGGATAGCAGAAGTCTCTGAATCTTAAATTGCTATTTCCTAGATTGCTTTTGCTCTGGCATAAAACCGCTTCCATTAATTTACCCAGGCAGATACAGCAAACAACAAGGGTCCTGCGGCTAAGGTACTGCCTGCAAACTGCCACAAGCTCTTTCTCCTTCTAATTGGAGGCTTTGTTTTTAATCTGTAGCCTAAATCAACTCCTCACCAATTCACATTCACTTGACCAAATTGTTCTCCAACAAAAATTTTCTTCTCCATTCCTAATTTATACATCTCAAACATAATCCTTTCTCTTCCCAGACTGCCTTAGGGGGTTAAGAAAGCCTGTCAGGAGAAAAGGTTCTTYATTTTCCTTCC